GCCGAGCGCTGGTGCGGGCTGTGGTGCTGGTGCTGGGTGCTGTGAGCTGGCTACGCGCGTGGTGGAGACACGGTGCCGGTGCTGGGCGCTGGCAGTGCGCATGGTAAAGACAGTGGGCGCCGGTGCCGGTGCTGGCAGTATGTGTGGTGGTAATTGGTGGCTATGCGCGTGGTGGAGACAGGGTGCCGGGTGTGGGTGCTTGGCGCTATACCGGTGGGTGCTGGTGCTGGGCGCCGTAAGCTGGCGCGCCGGTGTTCGGTGCTGGTGCCCGCTTCTGACAGTCAAGTGATAACAGCCGCCATTTCTGTCAGTGAAGGGTAATAAACCGCCGCTTGCAGCAATGAAGGGCGACCAAGCGCCGCTTCTGACAATGAAGTGCAAGTACTCATGGGCTGCATGAACTTATGCACGCAACATCATATGGTGTTGTCGCTTGAGAGTTCTTTGTCTATTAGCGCTGTGGGGTATTTACATCCTTCAGGTTCTGTTTTGGCCGACAGCTGTGTCAAGGGCTGTATTGTTTGCGCGCATACTTTTGTACGTATAATTTTCTATGCGTCGGGCTCTCAACCGACCATTATACCAGCATGTTTCAACATGCTACACACACAATAGTCGTGCTGGATACTGCTTGGCCTTGGGCGAATGAAGCCTACGGGCTTTGCCGATCGTGCGCGTACTTTTGTGCGCATAAACTTGTACGCGCAAGATCATACGGCCTTATCGTTCTGCAGGTCGTTGCTTCAAGCATGCTACAAAGTCAATAGTGGCGCTGGCTGCTGCCTGGCCTTGGGCCAATGACACTTACGGGCTTTGCTGTTTGCGCGCGTGCTTTTGTGCGCCTAAACATATACGTGCAAGATCATACGTTATTATTCCCCAAGTAGGGATAGTTATGGGGCTCTTGCTGCAAATAAGAATGAGCTGGCTGCGCGCTTTCAAAAGGGTGTCGGTGCTGGTGTTGTGGTCCTGGGTGCTGGTGCTATGAGCTGGCTGAGCGCGCGTTTAAGACGGGCCGCGGCGCTGGCCGGGTGCTGGTGTCAGCTGATTGTGCGAGGTGTCGTAAGCTGGCTGCGCAGGCTGCGTGCATTCTTGTTCCAGCCAATCGCATATCAACAGGTCGTGGGATTCTGCCTAGCTATCTGGGTCTATGCTACGGTTTTTTTATTTTATTTAGCTTATTGCTTAGGTAGGGAGCACCGGGCCGGATATTTAGGATGGGGGGGGATCTTAGGGGTAGATTAGGTCTTAGGATAGGGGGGGTCTTAGGGATAATCTAGATTTTTGGATGGGGGGGTCTTAGGGTAGCTTAGGCCTTAGGATAGGAGGGAAATTAGGGTTAATCTAGGCTCTAGCATAGGGGGTCTTTGGGATAGTGTAGGTTAACATAGGCCTTTAGGATTCCTTGTTTTGCTCGTTGCTAGCCTTGCACTTAACAAAGGGAGAAAAACAAATCTCTCATTTTTGATATATTTAAATATCCCTATGAATTTGGGATATTTGGCTAGAATCCCCTAACATAGGACGCCCCGTAAAGTCACAATTTTCTATCTTTAGGACCCGTTGTGATTCGGTAGGGCATGGAATAAATACGTGGTCTTTAGTATCATCCATACAAAATTATAGCAATAATATTGATATTGAATATTTATTTATCCATTTAAACAAGGATATGATTCTTTAGAATATATAAAAGATCAAATCTCTGACTACGACTTTCATGCTCCGTGGTGCTACTCGTGCCCAGCATTAAGGTCAGATAGGATCGGAATGAGCCATGGTAGCTACCTCGTTTGTGGC